CAGTTACAAAAGAAAAGTTCAAGCATTGCTTGGACTTGTTGAATTTTTCGAGTTGTTAAAGAAGTAAGGTAACTCAACCCACATTAAATGTTTTCTAAAGGGTAGGATATTTGCCAACAGTTCTCCGGTTACGTTTGGGGTTCTCCAGCAAGGTAAGTTCATCTTCTTCTCTCATTTTTCTTTCATTTGGTTTTGTTGCTTGCTGTTGGTATTCGTCCTTGTTGTTTTCTCTTTTTTTGTGGCTATTGGATCCTCGTTCTTACTATGTTCTTTTGTTTGCAGGTGTGGTCGATGGCTTTTATAGCCATCGATGGTGTGGCTCTCAGACCGATCCCATGGGTGAAGTTCGGTGAGTCACTGAACTATGTGGTGACTCACCATATAGCTTCGACGTGGGTGGCTTCGTGGTACTTCTGGAGTCTTCAGCGAGGCGGCAGCGTGGTGGCATTGTCGGAGTGGAGCACCTGGCAGTGGAGGCGTCGGCAGTGAAGAATCGGCTAGAAGCTTCCCTTGGTCCAAGGCGGCGGCGACGCTGGGTGATAAAACCCTGAATGGGTTTAGGGTTTCTACTGGGCCAGCTGTAAACGGGCCTTGGGATTTTGGTTGTAACTGGGTCGGGTTATTGGGCTCTGGGATATTTATTTTTATTTAATAATAATAATAATAATAATGTATAATAATAATAATAATAAAAGCATACTAAAAAATTAGTGTCACAGCTGCCCCTATTTGCTCATTCTTGTGTTAACAAGAATAGAGAAAATACGAAAAAACAATAATTTTTCCATTTGGCTTCTTTTGAGTAAGATGGAAATGTTGAAAACATTATGCCCAGAGGTCTTATCATCTTGCACTGTAGGTCTTATAGATGACCCGGAGGCTTTAAAACATCAAAAAGCTCTCAAAGGCTTTTTGAAAACATCCTACACTATAGGTCTTATGGATGACCCGAAGGTTTTGAAAACATCATGCACTGAAGGGCTTACAGATGACCTAAAGGATTTGAAAATATCAAAAAGCTCCCGAAGGCTTTTGAAAACATTATGCACTGAAGGGCTTACAGATGACCCGAAGGTTTTGAAAACATCATGCACTAAAGGGCTTACAGATGACCCGAGGGTTTTGAAAATATCATGCACTGAAGGGCTTACAGATGACCCGGAGGCTTTGAAAATATCATGCACTGAAGGGCTTACAGATGACCCGAAGGTTTTGAAAACATCATGCACTGTAGGGCTTACAGATGACCCGGAGGCTTTGAAAACATCATGCACTGTAGGTCTTACAGATGACCCGGAGGTTTTAAAAACATCATGCACTGTAGGTCTTACAGATGACCCGGAGGCTTTGAAAATATCAAAAAGCTCCCGAAGGCTTTTGAAAACATCATGCACTGAAGGGCTTACAGATGACCCGAAGGTTTTAAATATCAAAAAGCTCACGAAGGATTTTTGAAAACATCATGCACTGTAGGTCTTATGGATGACCCGAAGGTTTTGAAAACATCAAGCACTGTAGGTCTTACAGATGACCCGGAGGTTTTAAATATCAAAAAGCTCCTGAAGGCCTTTTGAAAATATCCTGCACTGTAGGTCTTATGGATGACCCGAAGGTTTTGAAAACATCAAGCACTGTAGGTCATACAAATGTGGGAAATAATTTACTAAGTAAGAAACTTTGGAAACCGTTTTCTTATTTTTCAACAATTTCATTTTCAGAAAAGATTAAATGAGAAACTTTGGAAATCATTTTCTCATTTTTTCGAAATAACTTGTTGATTGGGTAACATGCCCCATTTCAAAATAATGCTTCATTTATGGATTGTGTCCATCTATTCTTCAGATATTTGTGTGATTCCTGCATTCGAGGTCTTAAATTCTATCTTCTTCTTGTAAGGTATTTTTCATTATGAATCTTCTTTTTCATACGAAAATCTGAAAAAACCTTATGTTTGAATGTAATAAAATGTAATGCATTGTCTATTGTGCAAATGATGTTCTTATGAATGCATGAATGTTGATGCAATCTTTATTTGACTTCAAAGTGGTAAACTTGGTCTTCCTTCACTTGATCATTTATTGCCAGGGTTACCTTCGGATATCAGTGTAGCAACCTATGCTATATTTCTAAATAATCATCTGATCAATCTGCATCTTTGTGTCTTCTTTGTTTCATTTAAGTCTCAGAAGAAATGTTTCATTTATGGAACTCTTGCTGTAATCAGAATTATGACCTTGATGTCCCATTTTTATCTTTAATAACATTGGTTTTCTTCATCTGAACTTGTGTAGAAATCCAAATAAAGCTTTTATCTTTGAAAAGAGAATCTATCATCTTTGGAGAGTGTAGATGTAGATATATCAAACTTAGCAGAAATTAATTAGGATATCAACGTTTGTTCTTATTTGACTCTTGAAACATATCATAATGAGGATTTATCCTAATTCCTTTCATGTCTCCACATCTAATTGGATTTCGAACAAATCCATTCAGACTATATCATGTTGAGATGCTTAACAACAACCTGTCGTTCAACCTTAGTTGGCTCCACTAGTTTCTTGTTGTTAAAATTTATGTTTCTCTTTTGTTGAAAGAAATCTTCATCATATCTCACTTCTAACCTTAGGGTTGAAGAAGACAGACTTTATCTTGCATTAATAAATGGAAACCATATGATCACAACATTGGTTTAGTACCATAATCACTGATTCATAAAACATTTGACAACACGTTCATCCTTTCCTCGGCTTCTGTCCAGAGGTTCGTAAAACATTTGACAACGCATTCATCATTTCATGTGGCTTCTGCCTAGATGTTCATAAAACATTTGACAACACATTCATCTTTTTATGTGGATTCTTCCCAGATGTTCGTAAAGCATTTGACAACACATTCATCATTTCCTGTGGCTTCTACCCAGATTTTCGTAAAGCATTTGACAATACATTCATCATTTTCTATGTTTGCTACACAGATTTCTGGTCAATGAAGCTCTTTCATAGTGTTCAGAACTTTTGTATGATGTCACAAGACCACTTGAGAACAAAACTCAATGGGAATACAAGTGATTTGTTGGCGTGTTTCATGACAAAACATTTGGTCAAATTCACAAAATATGCTAGTGTCAAATTGAATAAGAGATACCAATTGATCTTGATATCATCTTAGGCAAGGGTGATATTGATCACATTTTCTTCCATAATGAGTATTGTAGGAAGTAGAAACACATCTGCTATAGGAGCCATCTACAGAAAGAGGTTCATGGAATTCTTGCTGCTGTAGATGAAACACACATGATAAACCAAATAGATGAAAACTCAGTTCATCATGATTGGCAATGATAATCCCAGTAACAACGTGAATAAGGGTAATATACATAAGTTGAGCCTCTTTATTCAATGTCATGAAGTAAGCGAAAATTATTGTGAAAATGGCTTCGTGGCCCCAACAGGATGATTGAAACTAACCGCCAGGAACCTTAAAGAAATATTTCTAATCATCACTGATACACAAAAGACCAATTTCAAAGCCGAGATCTTGAGGAACTAAACCCTGGATCGAATGGTCTGCATGGATTTCTTTATCCATGCAACCGTGATGTAGCTTAACAAAGAACACACTGTCATGTGACACATGGTTAAGAAGATTGGGTATTTAAAACCATAATTGCTGAGTAAATATTTGTTCAACACCATGACCCTAATACAACTGCTTGATGAATGAAGCAATTATGTATAGTCAGCTTGACTGTCACTACTTCACCATTTTCATTCTTCATGCCTTTCTGTCTCATTGGAAATATTTGCTCAAAGCAGTGATCTTTAACACATGATGATGTGGGCCTTTAGCATGCCCCAGCATTTGCTGATATAAACATTCAAAATGCATCAACATTCCTATTTCTGATTGAAATGAGCTTTCAGCATGCCCCAATATTTGCTTTTTTGTTGATGTGAGCTTTCAAAAATGCCCAAATATTCATACTGACATGGGCCTTCAAAAATGCCCCACATGGATCATTTATGTCTGAAATGGGCTTTCGAGATACCTCTATATTTTATTTCTGGTTCACTCTCAATGTCTGTTTGACTTGAATATCATAATCCCCACGAGCCCACGAGGTCCAATTTTGACAATGCACTGTTATGAGTATTTGTGGCTTTATTCGTGCCCCAAATCTGTTTATCTTGAATACTCTCATTCTGATGTTTTTAGACAGCAGTTGTCAAGTAACTTGAGGAATTCTCTTCATGTTGTCACAAACTTAAGAAATAATCAATTTTGAGATATGTGCCCCTTCTGAATGAGGTGCTCATTTTTTAGATCTGGAGGGATCTAGTCGGACAGAGTGGTATAAATCACTTGGTAATCCATTCCAGGTTGACACAATGGCTTATCATCTTTCGGTTTTAAGATTCATGTTCCCAGGGGTACCAATGTTCTGTCTCTTTTCTCTGGGATCGGTGGTACAGAGATTGCCCTCTACCGGCTCAGCATACCTCAGATGTGTAAGAACTGAATGATGATCGGTTGGAGAAATTGATGAGTAAATTTGGTGGATTCGACCTTGTTGTTGATGGCATCTCGTATAACAATCTTACTGAAAGAAATAAAGATCATCGAGATGAACTAGAAGATTTTTGTTGGCGTCTTTTCTTACAATGACTACTACATCGACTGTCTCTTCTGCTGTTCCAAGATACTCACTGCTATATCCCACTCTTCCCGAATCATGGAAAGGTTTGGTTGATAGTAAAACTGGTAATCTCTACTTTTGGAATCCTGTAATCAATGTTACCCAATATGAAAGGTCTATAAGTGTAGAATCTATTCCAATATCCTATTCTGTGCCATAAGTTCTCCAATTCAAGTTCAACAATCTTCTGAATGACATAATGGACATAATCCTGATAAGGAAAATGATCGACATGGAAAAAAGAGCAATGATGTATCAAATTTTAAACCAGTATCATGATATAACCAGAGTGCAGATGGGGGACTTGTTCATTCTCATAATACACCTTAATGGGACTTATATCTCTGTGATTGGAGGATCTGCTAGAGACATGGATTGATGGCTGGGGAAAATAATTTGTTTGGTGATGCTTATCACCTTTAGCATGAGATAAGTGATAATTTTTCTTGATGAATTGTTAATAATATCACAGGAGAGCGTCACAAGTTCAATTTTCTAGACTTTCTGGCTTCTTGGACCACTTGATTTCAAGAAAGTGAAATGCTTCATTATTCTGGTCTTGTTCATTCTTTTTCTTCAATAGAGGTTGAATAAACAATAACTTGCTTCAAGGACTTTCCTCATTTGAGACTGTCCTGTTTGAAAATGTTTTTCCTCCTTTCTTTATCAAAGAATGAAATAATTTTGTAAAGTGTTGCCTATCACAGATTCACAATAGAATCAAATCATAAGCATGAATTCAAAAAATATCAAAAGAATCAATAACTCTTTAATGTTTGAGAATTATAGCTTTTTGACAAGTATCAAGACTTATGGGTTAGTTTCAGAATGTCTTTCCTATTTTCTATGGTTACATCTATTTAAGATGTCACTCCTCTTTCTTTGTAAACATTGTCACATACCTCGCTTTAAGGACTTGATATTTTAACCAGATGCGTACAAAATAACATAATCTAGCATAACGGTTTCTAGACCTTCTAGAATACTTTCATTTCAATTCTCTGAAATCCTTGATAAAGTAATGTGAAAACATCGATATAATAACCAGATTTGTGTGTGTACGTGTGTGAAATAGACTATAACAGGTCTTCTTTTGCCATTTTGGCTAGCTGAATTCAGCTTTATTGACATTAGCCTTCATTGGACTAATTAAACAGTTCAACTCATCATAAATGTCTTCGACTTAACAATCACAGTGGAGCAAACACCGAACTGCCAAATACCCGATCAAGGTCATGCTTTAAATATATGACTCTTTTTTTTACATTAGCCTTCATTGGACTAATTAAAGGTTCAACTCATCACAATGTCTTTGACTTGACAATCACAGTGGAGCAAACACCGAACTACCAAATATCCCATCAAGGTCATGCTTTGAATATACAACTCTCTTTTTTTAAGAATAACTTGTTATAGCCTAGGTGTCTGGTGGAGTTCAGAAAATCTCATTACCAAATGACTTTAGACTAGATTTGTCAAAGTTTCATCGTCGAACTTCATCAATAGAAAAACAATCTAGTCAGATTTGCAATGTAATACACCAACGATGCCCCCATGTTGTACGCTCCTATATAAAAATACTAAGCCTTTTTGTAATTCCTTTAAATAGAAGTAGGTTATCTCATATTTGTAATATGATATTGTTTGGGTGTATTTCTTCTGAGGTAAGGTCAAGGGTCCTTGTTTTTCTAGTTTTCAATCTTGATATTTTGTCAAAGATTATAACTCTAATCATTAAGAGTTTTTTAATCCAATTGATATTCAAAGAACTGCAAGATTGCAAAATTGACTCAATGCTCAAAACCTTAAAAGCAACAAAACTTATTTATTGCACAAAAGGTAGAGAAAGGAACAAAAAAACATGTGCAAACAAGATGCTGAAAATAGAAAGTACTACAGTGGTAGATACCAACTTCCACTTGTTCATTTAGCTTGCCCCATCATTCCTTAAAGGTCAATACCCTTGATTCAATTAAATTCTGAACATGGCGTTTCAATGCCCCATAATTCTCAATAGTATGCCCGAGCTTCCCATGTGGTAACTACATATTGCATTAACATCATACCCTTCAGGAAATGGGGGTTCTTTCGGTTTAGACTGAACTAGAGTCACAAGATTCTGCTGAACTAGTAATGGGAGCAGTTCTTCATATGTCATTGGGATTTCAACGACAGAAGTCTTCTCACGGGTTATTCTATAAGGTTTGGCCCCATGATAAACTGAATAAGACTTCACTGTATTGATCTCGGCTTCTTTCTCGATATTAGTATTGTCGGTGCCTCTTATCCTGCCTCTTATCCTGTCATTCTTGATCATTCCTTGAGTAACTTCTTTGGATAAACCCTCAAATGCACAAATATTTGCTTCATTCTGAGCAGTTTCTTGATAAAATCCCATCATCATCTTTTTCTTTTCTGGCTGAAAATTGAGCTCATTTTTAGATCCAGAACAACTTTTACTAAGGATGATAACTTTGTCCTGATTCTGAACACATATTGCGGCTGTAATTGGAGTAGTATTCACCAGACTCTTTGTATTGCCCACTGTTTCACTTGTCCTCAGAAAATATGATACAGGTGTTTGAGGTTTCTTCAGAGTTACATCTTTCCAATTCATTCTTAAACATGTGGGCCAGTCTCAAATTACCTCTCATTTTACTTCTTTATCATTTATAATCAGAGAGGCATTGAAAATTGAACGTTTTATCTTTGGCTCAAATACTTTATTTTCATCTTTCTCTGCATCATGTACTTCACTTGTTTTGTTACTATCAACTCCACTTTAGGGTTTGATTCCCAATTGTTTGACCAAAACAGATTGACTAACATCCACTTCTATGATTCCCTGAACCACAAGGTCTTAAACTCGTCATTTGAAGTGACCACAATTCTTAATGGAGTGGCCTCGGGCTCCATTATGATATTCACAAGAAACTTTCTCCTTATACCAACTCGGGTATGGAAGAGACAAAGGCTTAGCCTGACATGGAGCTATAAGCTGAGCTTGGAGCAATTTGTGATATAATTTGCTGCAAAAAAATGAAGGAAAATTGGGGAGAAATTCTTTTGACCTAATTTTCTCCTTGTCATCATCTTGTGAATGATCGTCTATATTTTATCTTTGTTTAGCTTTCTTCAATGGCACTGTAACTTGTTCCATGCTTCTCTTCAACTTGATATTTGTCGCATTTTCTGGTGTCATACCCGATTTTTTAAGATTTATTGAATTTCCACATTCACTGACAAAGTCCTGGTCATTTGTTTCCATTGCATCAGTTACATCATTCATAATCCCATTCAAATCTTTCACAACATGATCCTCTAAGGGTTTCTCACCATGGATCACAACATTCATTAGCTCCATCAGTTTGGTTAGTTGTTTCTTTGAATCATCCTTGAACTTTTTTACTTGATCAGTCATCTCTTGTTGTGTCTCGATAAATTGCTTTTGCAGTTTCTCGATTCTATCAACCCTTGCTAAAATCTCATTCATGGCTATTATCCTTATTTAGGAATACCAAGTTAGCTCCAATTTGATTTCCAAAATTCTGTCAGGGAATTCTCCACGAATTATTTCCATGTTTTCATGATTAAATGCATGTAAAATTGTTTGAAACAAAATGTAATTATACAAATATGCAAATTCAAAAATGAAAATGTAAATACAAACGTAAAAATGCAAAGATGCAAAATGCAAATACAAATGTAAATATGTGAATGTAACATTAAGAATGCAAATTGTGCAATACAAAAGCAAACATAAAAGTACAAATGCAAAATGAAAATGCAAATATGCAAAATGCAAATGCATGTATCAAAAGGTGTTACTCAAGAGTGATCATCTTAAAACATATTTCATTGAACACAAAAGTTTTGGTGTATCAAACAAAACTTTACATATAGGGGACAACTTTTAGTCCCAACTTCAATAAAACTTTACATATAGGGGATAACTTCCCCTCCTAACTTCTCTAAAGCCAAGTTAGTTTCCATTCATGCTTAACAGTTGAATTATCAGTCTGCTTCAATTCCTTATAAAGTCAGCTAAGTCTATCAGCTTATGGGCCATATAGCTTGTATGGATTGCAGCTTCTTCCATGACATTATCTTTTTCCTTCATATTCCGTGTCAATTCTCGGAGTTTCTCATTTTCCCTTGTAAGAGAACCTTTGTGTTCAAGAAGTTCTTGGACAAGATCTTCATATATGTTGCAGTTCTTTTTTAGTTTGGTGGCCTCTGTTATCCACTCTTCTGGGGTGTTTCCTATGCCAGCATTTTGAAAGGCTTGACTGATCTTCTGGAAATCTTCATGCATGGTTTCCATTTTTGTGCTCAATTTCTTGTTTTGATCCTTCAAATAACATGCTTGAGCTTAATAAAAACCTTCTTTATTCTGAATGCCCTGACTGATACTCTTACCGTAGAATGCTTTTGGTATAAATCTAACAGGATCTTTATGGAATACTTTTGGTATTAATATAATAGGATCTTTGTGTGCATAGCTCGCTTCTATCCTCGGAGTTTCCTTAGGATGTCTTTCCTTGGCTGCGTCATATTTTGTTTGATCATAAAACTTTTTGTCCATTTATGAAAACTTTTCAATTTGATGAACAGTCTTTCAAGTCAACACCTTTTGGTTATGTCATGATCATGCAATGCAAACAAAAGAAATCAATATAAACAAAATAACATGCATGGAAAAAATAAAAATAAAAAATAAGAAAAAATAAAATGGTTAGTACCAATTAATGGAAAAAAAAGATTCTATCTATCATGGTATTTATAAATAAATCCTAACCTCATGTTTTCTAGTTCCATGCTTTGTTTAGAAAATTAGCCTAACCACATGATTTCTAGTTCGCAGGCATTTAGTTAGAAAAAAATGAAATCAAATAAATTGAAAGCTAGAGCTTATTTCTCCTTTTTGTATACCTATAGACATGGTTTTAGTATTGTCTTAGATCAAGATAATTTTTAGGGTTTATTATATACAGGGTTTCATTTATAAGAGTAAAGGTACTCGAACTATCCTTGTTGGTGCCCCTTTAGGCTGCCAAACCCTCAATCCTAGTCCATTACAGACTAAAGCGGATCGAGTTCAATTCGAGGGGACACATTTCCCTATGCCTGACACGGAGAATAAATTCTCATGAAGAGATAGGATATATGAACCCCGAAAGTTACTTGCTAGGTCTGACACGGAGAATAAATTCTCACGAAGTCGTCGCTTTCACTCCCACTTAAAAGGGACAAGCTTGATTATAAAGCTTATGTTATGCAATGCATGTGTTGTGTGTGAGGAGAAATTTTCACAGAAAAATTTAATATCTAAAAATAAATCAAATATACAATAGTATAAAATAAATTGAAAGAAATCAAAAGAATCATAAATTAAATAAAATTGGATTCTCAATTTCTAATTATAGAGACAATATATAATCGAATTAGGTTTGACCATTCCCCAGCGGAGTCGCCAAGCTGTCGTAACCGGTTTTTTCCCGGGCACGAAATTTCCTTGGCGGAAAAAGTGAAATGAATAAATAAATGATTTTGATTTTAAAAATATTTTGGGAGTCGCCATCGACCTTTTGGATTAGGTAGGTCGAATACCTAAAAATCATATTTTAAAAGAGTTTTTAAGAAAACATCAGTTAAAAGATAAAATGGTCTGCATTTAACCAAAAATTCGTTCTTTTTAATAATAAAAAGGGATTCGTGGTCGATTACGTTTGGGGAAGGATTAGCACTCCCACAATGCCCAAAATTGGTCTTTGTCGATTATAAATTGTCTCTAATAATAGAATTTAAGAATTTGAATTTGAATTTAATTTACAATCGTGTTATTTCAAATTTAATCTGATATTTCTAAGAATTTTTTTAAAATATATATATATTTAGGGTTTTGTAAATAAGACATTTATTTATTTAAAAATATCAGAAAAGGACATTTAGTTGCTTTAAGACTGTCTTTTCTTTAATATTGATAAATAAATAAATATTAATAATAATATAATAAGTTTCCTAAAAATAATGAAGTAAATATATGTATTTTTATAAGCATGATATTTTTTTTAAAATACCAGAATATGACATATAGTTATTTTAAGACTGTCCTTTCTGATTATTTAAAAATAAATAAATATTATTATTTAATTAATTGATAAAATTAATTAAATTATACTTATTAATATACATATATTAATATGACTAAAATTAAATAATAAAAAATAATTTTAATAGAACTAAAATAATTATATATGTATACTAAGATATTTATTTATTTAAAAATATTGAAATATGACTTCTAGTTACGTTAAGACAGCCCTTTTCATTATATTTTAAAATAAATAAACATTTTTATTTAATCAAATATATATATATATATATAAATAATATTTAAAATATTAAATTAAACATATTGAAATAATAATAATAAAAGTAAATTGCAATTAAATAGTGACTAAAATAAATAAAATTAAAACTATAAGATTAAATTGCAAAATATAAAAATTAATAGTCAAAAATAAAAATAATTAAAATATCAGTGATTAAAATATAACATATTAAAATTAAAAGCTCTAATTCAAAATATTATGAAATATAATAATTAACAGTGTAATTTAACCATAATAATTAACACGAGATTAAAATAAATTTAATAAAATTATAAGGGACTAATTATAATATTTACCCTAAATATATAAACATATACTGGAAAGGACTAAAATAAAATAAAATAAATTCGGAGACCAACTTAAAGGTTCAGAAGTTAGTTTCGGTGACTAAAATATAAATAAGTAAAATTAGAAGATAAAATTAAAATAAACATAAATCTGATTCGAGTGACCAAAAAAAATATTTATAAGATCTGAGGGTTTAAACGTGTGGTTCACCTAAGGAGAAATTACATGGAGGTCCCTCACCAAAAATACGTCGTTTTGGTGAGGGTATAAATACCCATTATTAAGCCTGAAAGGCTTAATCTCTTCTCATTTCTCCATTTCTTTCTTTCTCTAATAGAGAGAGAATTTTTTTTCTCTCAACTATCTCATAAAACCTCCGCTCGAAGGAAGATTAGAAACCGGTCGGCTGCCATGCTTCGCCACCAGTCACCACCGCCAGCCACTGTTCACGGTGGCCGGAACTCGAGAAAATAGCTCCGAATTTCCCTCTTTTAACCCTAAGTCCAAATATGGCCTCCATTTCCCCTAAAATTCCCCATAATTTCCTAGATCTAAGAAAATACCTTTGGTATTTTCAGTTCTTCGGAGATGTTTGGGGTTCTCTGACAAGGTAAGTTCCTCTTCTTCTCTCCTTTTTCTTTCCTTTGGGTTTGTTGCTTGCTGTTGGTGTTCATCCTTGATGTTTTTTTTTTTGTGGTTGTTGGATCCTCGTTCTTTCTCTGTTCTTTTGTTTGCAGGTGTGGTCGATGGTTGTGCTTTTACAACCATCGATGGTGTGGCTCTCAGACCGATCCCATGGGTGAAGTTCGGTGAGTCACCGAACTATGTGGTGACTCACCATATAGCTTCGACGTGGGTGGCTTCGTGGCGTTTCTGGAGTCTTCATCGAGGCGGCAGCGTGGTGGCATTGTCGGAGTAGAGCACCTGGCAGTGGAGGCTTCGGCTGTGAAGAAGCGGCTATAAGCTTCCCTTGGTCCAAGGCGGCGGCGGCGCTGGGTGATGAAACCTTAACAGAAACCTTAAATTAGTTTAGGGTTTTTGCTGGGCCAGCTATAAACGGGCCTTGGGATTTTGGTTGTAACTGGGTCGGGTTATTGGGCTCCGGGTTTTTTTATTTTTATTTAATAATAATAATAATAATAATAATAAAAGCAAACTGAAAAATTAGTGTCTACAACAAAGTACACAAATTCATTTGAATATAGAAAATTATTTTGTTGAATCCCTCAATTATTAAAAATTATTTTGTAGATACCAATATTTTTTTAGTCGTTTAACCCTTCTTGTTGTCTATTTCTTTTCAGGTTTAGATTTAAATTCGTTGCGACTGATCAATATGTTGTTTATTTGTTATCATTTTTATCTTTCATGTTTTGGATCCTCGAATTGGATCTGGATACGCAACACGTGTTCGTCGATAGTTTTCTCACTATACTTGGCTCTGATTTGTGTTTATCAGTGATATTTTAATAGTTTAATCTCATATTGTAGTTTGTTAGCTGTAACATTCAGGTTTATTCGTATCTAACTGTTGTTCGAGTTTTTTTAAATGAGTTTTTCGCATCTTTCTTGAATGATCTTAAGTTGCTAGTTTATTGTGTTAATGATTATAGGAGAATATACATATTATGTGTTTAGTTTACAATTTTATAAACAAACCCTCACATAACTTTGAATATATTTTTTAATAAAATTAACAGTTTTATCTTAAAAATAAATCAATAAACTAATTAATGATTTCCAAAATTTGTTAAGTAGAATCAAAGTAAACGTAATTAAGCTGGTATACAAGAAACACTCGGATAATGTGTACTGTCCAAAAGGGGTTAGGTAGTGTAAACTAATCATGTAAACCAATCCCAATGGGTCCGTATAATGAGAGTTTCTTTCATGCTTCCATAATAAATATATTATTAAATAAGTAAACAAAGAGATGGCCCACTTTTACTTTTCTTAGTGTGAACTGGGAAGGTAGACATGCGACACAGCTTAGAATCTATATATAATATTAAATTGGTGTCACCATTGGACCCCTTCCATTTCCCTTCCTTGTCTGCTGTCTCTGTACCACCTAACCTAACTCACCTCCATCACTATAAACCAAACTTATAATTTAGGCTAATAATATCCAAAAATCACTTTTTGATTAAATTAATATTTAAATAATGTTATTGATTATAATAATATCTTTTTAAAGATGCAGCTCCAAAAAAACTTTTACATTGTTTTTGAGGGCATATTTTTACTTACATGGTAAATCTTTCAGAAGATTTTTTTATAGTTAATGTTACCATGACCGGCATGTAAAAAATGAAAAATAAAAAAAGTATACGAATTTAAAAAAAAAAACACACGTAGTATATGTTGTATACATATATTTGATGAGTATAATCCGATTCGATAATGATTGCTGCACTCATTTGTAAACTTCTTCTTTAATAATTTAATGATTGCATATTTGAAAAATTGATTATATTTAAACATTCTAAAGAAGTTATATATATATAATGTGAGATTTTTTTATAAAATCCGTTAATTTTATTAAAATTATTTTCCTAACTTAACCATTTAAGATCTTACATAAGGACCATACAAGGAAAATGTTTAAAAATTAACCAAATAAACTTGAATAAGAGATAAATACGAATAGATTTGACTACATTGTCAAACGAATCACAAAAAAGAATAAAACTATTGAAAGACCATCGACATACCACAAATAAGAATCGAGCGATGTGAAAATACTATCCAGGAACGCAATTCACATATGCATATTCAATCCGAGAGTCCAAAACAGAGAAGATAATCATGGTAACAAATAAGTGTCATCTTGATCAGTCGTGTCAATATCAAATCCAACCATGAAAAAATAAATGAAAACAACAGTAAAACAACCGAAAACGTGTCATAGAGACAAAAAAATGTGTCATAGAAGTAGAAGAATACGCGTCATAGAGGCATAAGAATACATACTATAGAGGCATAAGAATACGTGTCAAAAGACATAATTATTAATAATAAAAAAACATGAAAAAACAAAGGTACAATATATAAAGCAAAGGAAAAATAATGAATATCAACGATCGGTAACAAAAACCAAGATCGGTGTCGCCACCATCACAAGATGAAGAAGAAAAGATATTAATGGTGGCTATATAAATAATGTGAGATTTAAAAATGTTAATGTAAATATTTATTAATTTTAAATTATCAAAAAATATTTTTAAACTTAGTTAGACTTATATCAGTAGAATAATAATAAAAATTAAAAAAAATTGAAGTATTTCATAAGTAAAAAACATAATAAAACCCTGAAACTTTAATATTTATAAATTTTTCCGTGTTCAGTGGAGAGGCAAGGGGGCAACGCACCTCTATATAAAGCCCATAATCGAATCTGTTCAAATCATTCATCTTCCAAAACACCGAATCATCAAGTACCTACCGTTTTGAAAGCAACCCTTAAACCTGCTCCTACATTTACCCTCGTAACTGTCTCGCTAAACAACAAAATGGATTCCTTTGAATTTGACAACGTTAAGGCAGAGAAAGAGGATGCTCTATGGAGATACAACATGGAGAAGAAGCTTAGGTCCGGTTTTCAATTTATTGGGTTTTTGTTGGTGTTTCTTTTTATATCATGGTCTTGGTTCCCCACTTTGATTCCCGACATCGTCCGGGTCGCCGGAGATCTTCGCCTGCGTTTTGACAACACTCTTAATGAGCCTCTTCCGATCTTCATTATTTTAAACATCATCATCCTCATCGTTTGTGTTCTGTCTAGCCAAAAACAGACCCAGAAACAATCCGATATCTACGAAGAGTACGTCGACTCTCGCCAGAGTATTATGCCTGCATCCGCCGTCGAAGATGACACCACAGTGGACAGACAAATCGTCGCGGCGGAAAATGCGGTTGCTGTTACCACCGGCGCGGAGGAGACCACGGCGGAGAAGCAAATCGTCCTGGTGGAAAATGCTGTCGCTGTTGCAGAGACAAAACGTTCCCTTTCACCACGTAAACGACAGCAACAGCAACAACAACCTTCGACGATGAGCCTAGCACTAACAGTGACAAAGCCAAAACCTGTAATAACTTCAACTGAAAAAGCTAATCGAAAAGAGTACGGAAGAACACGATCGGTGCTCTCGGAATCTGGAAACCGACGTCCCCGCTGGCAGTTCAAAAAATCAGAGATGGCAATGATGGGCAGAGAGCTGATGGTTTCAACTACTGAACCGTCGAGGAAATCGCTGGATGAGATGAGCAACGATGAGTTCCGATTAATAGTAGATAGTTTCATTGCTGAACGAAGGAAAATTTTGATCCAAGAAAACTGCATGTCGATCGTGGTTAAGAATTAGAAGATTATACAGTGAATTCATAGAAAAACCTGGGTATCGTATATTGATTACTGTCTGAGATTTTTAGTCACTGTTTCTCGGAAAGTAACTTTTTTATGGCATTTTTTTAGAGCCCAAATAATCGATAATTTAGATATATTCATATGATTATTTCCTTCTTAATCGTTAAATTTTTAACAACGGATGATTAAAGATGATCAAAACATAACTAAATGTAATTATAAGTATGATTTTAAAAAAATAATTAGATTACTAAAATAAAATAATGAGAATAATTGAGTGACTAAAACAAAATAATAAGAATAATTGAGTGACTAAATATATAGCTTATCTTAAAATATACACAATAATTGCTTAAAAATATTTTTTCTTCTAATAAATATAATATGAATACAAGGTAATATATATTTAAAAACTCTAAACTCTTCGACAATGATCACTTATATTCTTACATACATAGTACTCAAACTCAAAACTTCAAAAGATATCAATAAATTCTTATCCATTAAGACAAATTGGTTCCGAAATCAATTAAATACAAAAATGTTTTTAAGTAACGTCTGATGAAATCTACAGAGTTACTCGGTATTTAGTGCCTGACCAAGGGACCCATCGGGATAAGAAAAGAGGGTTGATATTAAGGCAGCAGTGGTTTTAGTCGGTAGTTGCAGGGGGCATTGCCTTTGTAGTGGGGTTGGTGCCCTTATGGTCTTCGGGTATCTTTTAATTTTGTACCTACATGGTCTCCGATATTTAAAGTACTGAATTTTTTTCATTTTACAATTATAAAAATTAAAATAATAAATAATATTCTGATGAATTATATAAAATTTGAATTGAAATATTGAAAATTGTAAAATGATATTCCACTTTGTTCTCATCATTATGCAACAAAAGAAGAGAACTTTCCCCTTGATTATTAGGCAATCATGACCCCACATTTTGCTACCCCTTTTGTTGTGACAATCGGGTCAACGCTGCCAACTATATTAATTATTCGCTTCTCTTTTTTATTCCGTACAAATGGCGTGTTCTTGTGGGAACTTTAAATAATTCCACCGTAATTAAAAATTATATTTGTTTATTCATAACAATTTCCTTTTTCTTCACCAAATTTTTACTTTACTTTATTAAAATTCGATCATTGTATTAAAAAAAATAAGTAACTAGTTTATTTATCCTGTTAATATTTTTTAAATCTTATCATTAAATTGTTAATCTGAAATACAATTAAAATTTTGATTTTTATACATAGCATATTAATTAAAACTATCTATTTAAGTTCATATGTTTATGGATAATTAGACTAATTTCTTGATCTTTATGAAGTACGAGGATCAAATTTTGAATTTATGATGAATTAATGTAAAAATGCTAACACACAAATCACTAAAAAAAATAAAAATATTAAAGTAAAAGTTTATTCGTTAAACGAAACTTGGTAGAAAAAGATTAACATTTGAAGAATTTTGTACCTCATAAGAGTTATTTATATATATTTTATCGTATGTGTCACATATTTGAACGTCTAAAAAATATCCCCTTTCATTAATATTATTTGGATCATAATGAATCTATTTTATTAATCTAAATAATTACTTAACGAAGAAATGATTTTTTTTAAAAATTGTTTTACCGGTTAATTACTTTTTTTGATTCAGTAAAATACCTTCTTCAGACCTTAACATTTCTATCCCCAAAAAAGTTCCGTTCACAAAGATATTTCATCATGAAATTATGATTCAATATTTTTTTTTAATTTTTCAATGATTTCAATATTATCTCTTCTGATTAACAAATTATCATTATATACAAATATGATCACAATCTTACCCTTTGCTTCTTTGTAAATAATGAATGATCATATATGTTATATTTATGTCCATCAGATAATAAGACTTTTTGTATGACACCCCAACAATTTTTGATTTTCTTTTAAATTTAACAAAAAATATAAAAATAAATAAAATATTTTTTTATAAAAATATTGGCACTCTTAAACATAAATTGACACTCACTATTCATTTTCATCCATTCAAAGGAAAAAAAAACTGCATACAATTTATAAATTTGACATCCAAAAATAAATTTTCTCTAAATTTATCACCCAAAATATGTTTCTAGCTTCTTCCCTGCATTCTACTGTAGCTTGTTTTAAACTATACAAAAGTTTTATAACTTGTATATCATTTTTTTCTCCGGATTGCAAAATCATTTGAGCAATTTCATAAAAAAAACACTTACTTATTAAAGTTTCCTCATGCTACAAAATGCATAACTTATGTACTTTTTATTTAAGCCATGTAATACTACTACTAATCATAATAATTTGCTATCGGCCATAGTGCTTTTATGGTGTTGATTCATGGGCTGATGGCCCTTAAACCATGGGTTTTTTGGGACACTCGTTACTCTGGAAGCCCATGTTCAAACCGATTTTTCACAAACCTTGAAGAGTAGGGTGATTCAAGTCCCTTTCCTTAGAGACACGAGCAGAATAGCACTGGATATTCAAAGTTCCATGTATAATCACACTTTCTTCATGAATTATCAAATATTTGTATTTTAAAGAGGTAGAGAAACAGGACGAGTAAAAGGATAGTGATCGAAAAGATGCTAAGGTTTACGCTCCAAAGACATGCCAGAGCTGCGAAAAATAAGATTATTATTTGGTATACTAATTTAATGTTGCTTGCTTCCCCTTCGTTCTTCCAAACTTGTAAAAATACAAACCACTTTATATTTTTCCAGGAGATTTAATAATTTAATTATAAATTCCTTTCTTTATCACGTTATTGAGATCCAAAATGGGTAAAAGATCCACCAAGTAGGTATAAATTTCGCATAAAATAACAGTTATGTTACCGAAACGCTTTATTCTCCCCGTAACATTTGAACTCCATATTTATATTTGATATTTTCTTACAAGTATCTCATTGATAGAAAAATTATAGTATATTGTTTAAATTCTTTCTAAGTTAGATGGAGATTGTCATTAGTATGAATTGAAGAAGATGATACAACATATAGAGATGAGAGAGAGTAAAAGAGAGAGGATCCATAGTCCTTTCTCTAATCATATATAGTGATTTATATACTAACATTTAGTATTGATGTCAGACTTACGATCATGATGATGATATTTGACAGAACAAGTAGATTTGTTTATCAAATAACACATGTAATTGTAACAAATCACATAAACTTGTCAATGATTATATCAATAGGCTATAATATGATATTCTATATATATATATATCATGGTATGCTACACTGGCAAAGCCAGCATGTGTTGAGCGGTGTCAATTGACACCCGAAAAGTTTTTAAACTTTATTTTTGGTTCATATAAATTATATATATAACAATAAAGAAAAAAAATGGCACCCCTTTTAGAAAGGTTTTGACAATCTTTAAAAAAATGGACCTGTATTTAAAAAAATATTTAACAATGAGGGTTTTAAAATTTAATTTTCCTACTTAAATTTTCTCCCATATAATTTCTAAATTTGACACTTTAAATATTCTTTTTTCTAACTCCGCCCCTGCTATGCTATATATATAATTTTGTATCCAAAACTGAACTCCAAATCAAAGATGATATAGTATACCATGGCAGATCTACAGTATCTTGACCATTACCATGAGAATCATCTTTGAGACTGTTGTTTCACGCATGACGAAGCTATCTGCTTTTTCTTTTGGAATCGTAAAGCTGATTCATTTCATCTTTAATGTCTGCTTTAATTTCACTCCCTTTGCTCGTTTAAAGTCGCACGTAGGGTTTTTAAGTAGTAAAAGATTAGACAATTTGTTTGAACTCTAATGATATCAACCAAAAAGAAAGTTTCCCAATCTCAAAATGGTAATTGTTTTTGTAGCTTTCCCAGATTCCGTTTCTTGGCTTTTTCACAATTTGGTTTTGATATTATCTGCTGTCTGATGTCAAGGGAAATATGCCAAAAGGAAACTCTCAGACCAATTGTTGCTATTAAAAGCTACTATATTATAAGGAAAACATTTGAAAATCTATAGGAAAATCGAAATTTAACTTGTTTCCGGAGGACCCTATTGCAAAAGTTGAGACAGTCATGTTCTGACCCTACAAAGCTGAAATAGAGTTAAATATTCGAATTCTAATATGGTGAATAGAAAAATAAATTAAAATGATCGCCCCTATAATGAATATGCATAGTATTGATTTAGATTAATGAGTTAATAATAAGATATCATGAATTTATTAAAAGAAAATTCTTTCTTAATTTTTTATTTTATATTTGTCATCTAAATATATCCTTAATTTCATCGGATAAAACTAGACAAATTCAAAGATCTATCAATCTTCATGAACAATTAATATAGCATACAAAAGATGTCATCAGAGATGGATCAATACGAATAGTGAGAACAATTTCCCATATAATTTACGTTTTTTAAATATTTTTATTAATAATATGTTTTTGATTATTTTAAAATTTCATAAATCTATTCTCCTAACATAAAGTACTGTGTTCGTCCCTAGTCGTTGCATTCAACATTAAAAACAACAGCTGGTTCATATATATATATATATATATATATAGGCTTAAGCAACTTAATATGGGTGCCTTATTAGGGATATGTGTTAAATAAAACAACAAAACAAATCAACTTTCTTGAGCTGGCCTACCCCAATAAGCATTTTTACTAAAAAATCACAAGTGAAAGAAGCCAAGCAAAGCACAAAACCAGCAAACTTCGTCCCCTCTATCCATGTATGCTCTCTTTGATTTCACCACAAATATTTTGTTAGCTATGTGTGTATATATATATATATATATATTTTGATTTTACTTTTAGGCATAGTGATCTTTGCACTTTTATGTGTAATTGTCACTATCTTGTTGGACCACATAAATACACAAATATCAACACTCACAAACTTTAATCTCTAAGGCCAATGATTGAGGTGAATATGATTACTTTAAGCAACCCATTTCTATTTTTAATCCATTTTCCGATGTCTTTCATTTAAATGGTTAATTACTAAACTAGGAGTACGAAGAGTGTGGGGGATCTCCAACTTCTTAGAGATAAATTTTTAAAATATAGTTTACTAGATAGATTTTTAACAATCGATATTATTTTTAAAATAAATTTTTTCCTCCCATCCTTCAAGAGCCCATAGTGGATTCACAGTTGAGTATATCGGATTTGAAAGTAATACAATCTACAAGACACATGATATGGGTCCGTAGATTTGATAAAAAAAAAAAAGTTTAAACTCGCAACCTAAGGGATATACATCACTGTCATTCATCTTGTAGTTATCTCAAATGGTACTATACTAATTGTTGAAAGTTGAATTGATTATTTAATAATTAAAAATTTTATAATTTTTTTGAAGAAATAAAAAAATCTTATAACAAAGTGAAATAAATAAGTTCTTTTACATTTATACAAACGACCTTAATTACGGGAAATTTATAATATGTCCTAAGATTTATTAGTCATAAGAAGCTTCTAGCTTATGCCATTACAAAGAAAGTTTATGGCAAGTCAAATAGCTTCCCCTTCAATCATGCCTCTTTTCCTTGCTTTTTTTCTTATAGCAATATATCTACTTTAGAGTTGGATTTTTTTAACGGAAGATATCATATTTTATTTTAAATTATTTTAAATAATAATAAAATTAGTTTTATTAAATAAATAAAAATAAAATACAATAAACATTTATAATATTGAAAAAGAAAGAAACTACAAAATTTAAAGTAGATTAATCATGCAAGAATATTATTTTCACTAAAATCATAAAAAACAGAAACTAAGAGCTAAATAGTAAAAATAGAATCATATAATGAAATGATAAAAAAAACCAACCAAACAACTCAAAAAATAAAAAGTATAATGTCAAAAATAGCTCCCACCGTTTATCAAAATAGTAATTTTGGTCTATATTTTTTTTGAGCATTTTGGCCCCCAACATTTCACTTTAGGGAAAAAACTTCCTTTATAGATGAAAATCATTAGTTAACACACGATTAACACTCCAAAATATGAGCCATTTTTAACCTAAAATGAAACATTGAGGACTAAAATATCTCAGAAATAAAAGAATAAGAAACAGAGTGATTATTCTATCATATGTTAAGAGCCTTTTACCTTAAAATGAAACGTTGGAGGGTCAAAATGCTCTAAAAAATAGAATAGGGGACAAAATGATCATTTTGATAAACGTTTGGGCTAATTTCGGTATTATGCCAAATAAAAATACAAACAAACAACAATGTAGATGAAGAAAGATAAGTATCATCAATATTAATATAATAATAGAACATAACAACTGACTTTGTCACAACTTAAATATGAAAAATTTGAGAGAGATTAATTATGAGAACATATCAATATAAGAGAATTAACTCAAGAATTTAAAATAAGCAAGATCAACAAACTAACAAATAACTATCAATGAAAAAAGATACCAACAAATTCGATCCTTATTATTTTTTTTAATAAAAGTAAGATAAACACGTGTTATAAGAACAATTATTTTTATAAGAAAAATGAGAATACTTAAAAGGTTTTAAATCTCTTTAAAAAAGCTGCATAAACAACTTTTAATTAAGTAAACTCGAAGGTCTTAAATCTCTTAAAAATAGATGCATAAACAACTTTTGATTAAGTATCTCTTAGAGAAAAGCTGCATAAGTAACTTAGTTAGACGTGCTAAAGCTCCGTTTCCATTGAAAACCAAGGATGTCACGTACACAGTTGGTGCAACAACAATATTTTATCGGCAGTTCAGGTATATACGAACATGTTTTTTCTTTCATGTTTCATAGTATTGTCGGTAAATGAAATAGTAAGTATCAAAAGATCATGTCTCATAGTCTCATAGATAGTCGTTCCAAATACGCTATTAAGTGGCATCTATTTTAAGTATTTTTCATTTGTTTGGTTAGAATTTTTTATTATAAAAAATGTATTATTTTTAAGATGTTTATGTGGCATTTTGATATCGAAATCTTGTTTTTCGACTCTTAAAAGGATTTCAAGATTATTTTAAAGAATAAGAACATAATATGAGATCATTTGATTTATTATTAGTTATCATCGTGTGGTTCACCATAATTGAAGTTGGACACAAAGCTACAAAATAGAAAAAAATTAGACTATGGTTTGAGATTTATCAGCTGTTGGGATTGAACATATATTCTTTAATTGATGAACCTTCAAATGATTTTCATTATGTGATTGTTCGCCTCACATCAATTGTGATGAACTAACGGTATGTTAAACGATCTTGGATCATGTTCTTTCTCTCTAAGGTATTTTTAATGTCTTTTTAAGGGTCGGGAGGCGTAAAAAAATACCAACATCTTTAAAAAAATATATTTCTCATTGTTGAGCGTTCTAAGTTCTAACCTAAAAATCAAGAGATCCCTTCACAACAGCAAAGAGAACTTATGGCTCTATCAGGCAAAGTTTCATCATTTTTCCTTTTTCATTTTAACTAAAAGAAAAAAAGGAAAAACGTCTTTATATATAAGGGAGCATTAGGGTTATCGTGCGTTGCATTATCAAGGGTTTAAGTTAAACAGGGTAAAGCAATTGGAGAACTTTGATGTTCCCTTTTCTATTTCATGACTTCAATAGGGTAAACATTGGGAACAGATCATAAAACAACTTTGATTTTTTCAATTTATTCTTTTTGGTGCTATAAAGCAAACCATATGGGATTGATCGGTGTCATTTTCAGTGGCATACACTTGCCTAACTTCACTAACACTAATGGAAAACATGATTTCGGTTGGAGCCCATGCAATAACGTAGAGTATAAACCATGATTTCACTATTTCTTTTTGTTACCAAATAATTTGAAGTACATACGTAAATATTTGAATTTTATATTTATTTAATCTATTAAGTGACTATATGATAAAAGAGAATATTATTTTATAGAGTATCTAAATTCGAGCAGTTGCATATATAAAATGCGTGTTACAAATAGATTAAAAACAATTATGAACATATATTATCTTATAATTAACTAATAGTACTATTTAAAATAAATAAATTATACGATGTTAATTCATTTAAAGTTATTAGCAATTAAATAATAAATTTCAATTATAATGACTACCCAACAATGTAAGATCCTTTTTTTGTTCTATAAATTGGCTTCACAAATCTCTCAAAATCCTCTTCCACTTCCACTCTCTTCCCCTCATAGATTAGAGGTTTTCTTGTGTTCTATTCTTGTTTTTTCATGGTTTCTTAATGTTTATTTCATAGAGTATCATTTTGATATGCATCTTTGCCTGAAATGGAGGGTTTTCGTTGTTAACCTTTGTATCTATACAAAAATCTCTTGGTTTCATAATCATCCTCTTCTTTTTGGTGGTGTAAATCTTGATGTTACATAAATAGTTGGCGTTTGAGATTTCATTTCTCCGGTTGTGAGTGAAATCCTCCGGTCGGGGTTTATGATAAATTCCTCACTCAGACGCAGGACCCATCTTGTTCAATCTTTCTCAATCGTCTTCCTCCACTGGTTCTATGTTTTTCATAAATAAACTTCCTGTAATCGCTAGCTTGACTTCCATTTCACATGCATGTAACACATAATAAAAATCAAACTCCACATTAGCTAAACATAATTACTTAATTAGTTTCCGGGCCCTGTCGTCGTTCTCAACCAAAAAAAAGGTTAGATCTTTGTGTAAATATATATAACATGGCCTCGTCTAGTGGAAACTCCAATTCTTCAGGTTCGACCCTGCTTCAGAATTCAGGGTCTGAAGAAGATTTGCATCAGTTGATGGATCAAAGAAAAAGAAAGATAATGGAATCCAACAGAGAATCAGCGAGGAGATCCAGGATGAGAAAACAAAAGCGTTTAGATAATTACCAGATCCTCACAAACTTCAACTTCATCACCCATCAGTACTTGAACATGGAGGCTGAGAACTCGGTTTTGAGAGCTAAGATCATAGAACTGAGTCAAAGACTGGATTCCCTGAATGGGATCCTTAATCATCTCAATAATCCCAGAATAAGCAATGGGGTTTATGAAAGTGAAGCTTTTGAAACAAGTGGTAAAAATTTCACCAATTTCATTGACCCATTCAATTTGGCTTATCTTAATCAACCAATTGTGGTCACTGCAGATGTTTTCCAGTAATGATCCACCATTACTAAATGGGTTTAAAAATCAATTGAATTGTGAACTAGAAAGCAAGAGCTGCCTGCTAAATATATAATCATGGCTCTCTTTTGTTGTAAAACAATGGGGGTTTCTGATATATATATATATATCATGGTGTCCTAGACTCTTAATGTCTTTATAGGTTTTTTGTCTGCTTCCTTCTGATCTTTATAATTGATGGTGTCTGTCTTCTCTTGTTGTTTGAGAAATAACCAAAAAAAAAAATCGTCAAAAGTAATTGGTAATTACAATTGACTACTTTTAATCTCTCTGCTCGGCAGTCTTATTCTACCTTCATCAAAATAATAAGTATTCGCAGCAAGGGATGGATTAAGAGGGAGGATATGGCAGTAGTAAAATTTTAAAATTATCAAATATTTTAGATAATTTTTTTATTTATTTTTTATTAAATATTTATTTTCACTCTTTAAACTTTTATAAATTTATTCAGTCTTAAAATTTTTAAAGTTCGATCCCTAACGTAAAATCATACGTTCATTCGTGACTATGTGTTTTTTGTTTTGTTTGTTAGTAAATTGGGTTGGTAATCCAAAGAATCAATATCTTATATTAGTTAGTTATTGATTTTGTAAAATGTTTATATATGATTTTTTTTGGTTACACAGAGGTTTATATATTTTATATCTGATTTTTAAACCTACTCTCACTGGCTTATTGGAGATAAGATCCAACATGGGCTAATTTCTATTTGCGTAGTTTGAAATATGTTTCCTTTCTGAATGTAATTTGTTTTTTTAGTTAATTGCACTACGTATCTTTAAACTATGAACTTTATTTAAATCAATCCTTAAATTTTTTTAACACTCTAATTTTATCCCCAAATTATGACTTTAATTTTAATTTAGTTCCTAAACTTTTGAATGTTTCAATAACGTCCCGACACTATCAACCAATGGATATGAGAAAGCCTATTACAAGATCATATTAACATCAGCAATGAAAAGTACTTGGCTACGAAAGTTGATAGAGAAAAGCATAAACTACAAATGACAACTGCAATAATATGGAAAGAATGGAGCCACTCATGGTGGCTGAAAATTTGAACTGACACTGAAATATTATGTCGATAATCCAGAGTAAAAAATTCAATTTTCTCGAGGGTACCTAGTCCATCAAGGCTTGTAGAAGAAAATAAAAGCTCTAGTCCTTCCCAAAATCAGCACGGTAGTGTGCAGTAGATTCAAGTTTCTTGACCTCTTTCAATTTTCTTACCGCCTGCAGTTTCACCAGATAGAATCAAGTGAGCATATGATTACCAAAATAATGGAATTATATTCCATTCATTAGGTCTTCGTGAATGGCATAGTCACGATCAACACAAATTGCAAATATTTCAGCCTCCGTACAAACATTTCGTAGATCAGCACCATTAAACCCCAAAATCAATGTGTGAGGAAGTAGATATGAAAGCAATGTATTGAACCAATACTTCATCATTCATTGAGTTATAGCACTCTATTTATACAAGAGTTTACAATTAGCTTTATAACCGTATAACTGCATGACAACTAACATAACAACTAACAGTTATTCTAACAGCTTCCTAACTATACAACTAGCTATAACACTCATCAGCTAACAACTTCATCGTTCAACATTCTCCCTGCTTCTTCTTCTTCCTCCCAAAGAAATGACTGCACATTCACCCTGGTTTTAAACACCTCAAACCGAGCAACAGCTAACGGCTTTGTGAATCCATCAGCAACCTGGTAACTTCCTGGCACATAGTTCACCAACATTTGCTTCAATGCCACATTCTCACGAACAAAGTGAACATCAAGTTCAATATGTTTACTCTTTGCATTATAGACATGGTTTGCTGTCATGGCTGCAGCACTACTGTTATCACACCAAACTATTGGAGTTTTCTGCCTTGCAACGCCCAAATCATTTAGAAGGGCATCCACCCACGTTGTCTCAGCAGTAACATATCTACACTTCTATACCCAGCTTCCATAGTCGACCTAGAAACTGACTTTTGTTTCTTTGAGTTCCACATCACGAGATTGTCACCGACAAACACACAATAACCTGAGACTGACTTGCGATCATCAGCACTTACAGCCCAGTCGACATCAGCGAAGGCTACTACATTGAATCATGTTACTGCAGGTGCAATGACCAAGCCATGGTTAACTGTTCCCACCAAGTATCTCAAGATCCTTTTAACAGCAACAAGATGCTCTTGTCTTGGAGCATGCATGTATTGTGTTGTCTTGTTAACATTAAAGGTTATGTCCGGGCGAGTGTGACACGCGTATAATAACGTACCTATAACGCTTCAATATTCATATGCATCTTGAAGCAACGTCCTCTCATTATGACTCAACTTGGCAGATGCAAGCATTGGTGTAGACGCATGATTAGCAATGCTCATCTTTGTCTTCATTAGCAATTCTAGGATAAACTTCCTTTGGCTGAGAATTAACGAACTACCACAATGTTTAACTTCTATGCCCAAAAAATAATGTAATTCACCAAGATCTTTCAGGGCAAACTCTCTTCCAAGGACTTTCACCACTTCTTCAATCTGTTCATTTGAACTCACAGTCAACACTATATTGTCTACATATACAAGTATGTAAACACAGTCACCCCATTCCCAATGAACAAACAGAGAAGTGTCAGTTGAAGACTCTTTAAAACCAATTTTAAGTAGGCAATTTTTCAGTTTGTCATGCCAATTTCGAGCGGCTTGCCGTAAACCATACAACGCCTTCTCTAATCTGCACACCAAGGGACTACCATATGTAGACACTTGTTTGAATCCTGGTGACTGCTGCATGAACACCTCTTCATACAAGTCACCATGCAGGAACACGTTTTTCACGTCCACCTGGCGTAACTGCCAGCCATTGGTAACAACTAGTGAAATAACTACATTCAACGTTGCAAATCTAATATCTAGATTGAACATTTCTCCAAAATCGTGTCCTGGCATTTGAGAGAAACCTTTAGCTACTAATCTAACTTTATACATGCTAATAGAGCCATCAGGGTTATTCTTTAATTTGAAGAGCCACTTACACCCCACAACCGAGTGTCCTTCAGGTAATTTTACTAACGTCCATGTGCCATTCTTCCTTAATGCTTCAAACTCAGCTTGCACTGTTGCTCTCCAGTGAGGTGACTGAATTGCTTCATGGACATTAAGAGGTTTCATGTCAGCATAACTAGCCACATACAATTTAGGCTTAAATACCCCACACTTACTCCTTGTCATCATCGAATGACAATTTAACACACCAGCACCATTGCCATCTCTTGGGGAAGTAGCATTGTCAACTGACTCAGTGACTGCCATAAGTTGCCTTAGATTTGCTGACTCAAGAGCTTCAATTATGCCACCTTCTTCATGTACACCTTCAAAAGTAACAACTTCTAGTGAAGGCTCACCAAGGTCAGCCATATCTTGACCCGTATGGCCAGAGGTTCCACTCACAATATCTTCATTTGCACTAAGCACTTCCTATGGAACTGCTTCAGTCAAGCCAGCCAGGTCCATATCAGAAGAAGTTGTTCCTTGACCCGAACCAGCTGTGTTATCACGAAATTATCTCATGTCAGTAATAACTTCAAGTTCTGCAGACCTTTGTTTATTGACTTGATTTATGTTACTCAATCCTCCAATCCTTGTAAATGGAAATGTAAACTCATCAAAGATAACATGTCTGGAACTATATATTCTGCCACTAGCTGCTAAACACATATAGCCTTTGTGCTGAGGGCTGAAGCCGAGGAATGTACAAGGTTGAGAACGGAATTCAAGCTTGTGCTGCTGAAACAAGCTTAGGCGAGGAAATCATTTACACCCAAAGACTCTCATGAAATCATAATTCAGTTTCTTTTCAAACAATTTCTCATAAGGTGACAACCCTTCTAAAACTCTAATGGGGAGTCGATTGATGAGGAATACTACAGTAACAGCTGCATAGTACCAATAGCGCAAGGGCATGGCAGCTTATGCTAACAAAACCAAGGCAAGTTCAATGATGTGTCGATGCTTCCTCTCGACCAAACCGTTCTGTTCAGACATATGTGGGCAGGCAACACGATGCACAATCCCTTCTCTTAGCAACATAGTTGATAGACTACGATACTATCTACCCAATCGTTTTGCACAACCTTCACAGTCAGCCCAAACTGAGTTGTTTCCATCTGCTGAAACACCTTAAACGTGTTTACTGCTTGTGATATGTTTTTCAGAAAATAGACCCAAGTGTGTCTTGAGTAAGCATCAACAAAGGACATGTAATAGTGATAACCATTCGAGGCTACATGAGATGGTCCACATATGTCTGTGTACACTAGTTGAAAGAGTTTAGTATAAACAGTTTTAGAGTGACAGAACAACTTATGTCTTTTTTCAATGCAACACGCTTCACAAACTTTATTCACATTTTTATTGACTTGAACATCAATAACTTTGCATACACTAGCAACTGTTTCATATGTTGCATGTTCTAACCTTCTATGCCAAAGGCTATAAGCATCACTAGCTGAAGCAACATTTACACAGACATTTTTATAAGTACTTGAGATAGTAGTACTAGGAAACATATAGAGCTCGTCTTGCATTCTTCCTTGAAGAATCACCTCCCCACTAATTGCATCACAAACACAACAACCTTGTGCATGGAATTCAAACTTCACATTATTGTCCCTAGCAAACTTGGACACAGACAACAAGTTTTATGTTATACCAGGTACATGAAGTAAGTCATTAACTAGCAGTATTCTAGAAGCAGATTTCATGACCGTGCTGCCAACTAGATCAACAGGTAATGAAACATCATCACCCACAACTAGCTTACCTGGACTACTACATCCAGTTTTGCGAGTTACAACATCTGCATCCGGGGTAACATGGTGGGTGGCTCCAGAGTCAATGATCCACTGATCCTGCTCAGCTATAGAAGCATCAGTAATGGTTGAAGCACGTAACTGAGACCCCTTCGAAGAACACATACATTCGCAATTGTCATACGCAGCAGTATGAGCTTGGGCAGTTTCTTCATCATACCTCGATTGAGTGTTACTGACTAT